GTTCAAATATATGGGTAAAAACCCCTGCTGGACCCTCTGCCTGATTCACACCCAAGGTGTCCCAAACTGAATCCACCTTCCGCCCAAGCTGACTCCTCTGCCAGGTTCCCCAGCCCATCAGTGGTGCCAATACTCACTCCACCAACACTCACTCCTTTGCCTACACCAGATTCCCAGGTTTTCAGAGGGTCCCTCTCAAAAGCACTCAAAGCCAATCACCAAATCCTCAATATTCTCTCTCGACTCTGGCCACTTCCTGTCGTCCACACTGCCTCAGCCAGTGTCCAGGCCTTATATTGCGCCCCGGGGTTATTTCAAGCCAGCAGCCTTTGTTCCTCTGGCTCTCAGATGCTCAGAGCGCATGGCTGTCTGGAGGCCAGGCCCCGCTGCTGTGGATCAGGCATCCTTGTGTTCAGCCTCTCCCGGCCAGAGGCCTTTTTGAAGTGTGAACTCTCAGAAGCCAGCAGCCTGAACAAAGAGGGTACAGAATGGGCACACGGGCTTGTGATCTGGCTTGCGAGGGGCTTGGCATTTGAATGCAGCCGCTCTGACCCCCTCTTCACTTCAGGCACAGCTTGATAAGGACAGAAAAACCATTTCACTTTTGGCTTCTAAAAATGACCAAGTGATTTTGCAAAATTGTCCTTCTCACCCCATCCCACCCCCACTCCTTACCTTGCCCCGATCCTGAGCCTCACTCTACGGCTGACCCGCACCCCTGGCAAGGCCCAGGAATCGGGTGAGGTGAGGGCTGGGGCCTGGGTCAGGCACCGCCTGGCAGATGAACCCCAGGACACCAGCAGTGGCTACACGTACCCCGCCTGACTCATCTCAGATGGGGCATCGGACTCTCTGAGGGGAGTTGCATGCTCTTGCCCAGCCCTTATCAAGAACCCTCCGATCCTCCTTGAGAAGCTGCCATGGTCACACTTGTTCACCCCCAAGTAGCTGCTTAGTGACGGCATGACTTGTCATAGGGGACAGCAGTGACTCTAATCTCTGAGTGCACCCGCCTCAGGAGGGCAGCCTCGTGTTCTCAATCCCGGAGAGCATGGGGCTTGGGGGCAGAGACGTGCCTGGAGGGAAGCCCCACGCCACTGCTGACAGCCCGTGCCACCTCCGGCAAACGAACTAATGGGTTACGTCAACTCTTGGACCCTCCCCTCATCACTGGCTCATCACTCCAGGCCTCACTGGGCAGTGGCGGGGGCAGTGAGAGGTTGAAGGGGTGAAGGGAGACGAGTAACGTGCTCACGGGTGCTTGCTACGTAGTAGATGCACTGACAACTCAAAATCTTTTTAGTAACTACTGAATGACGACTTTTGGAGAACAGAACACTGAGTCGAGAGAGATGACAAGGTGGAGGCAAGGTAGGGGTGGCGCGGAGCAGGGGCCACGGAGGCGGGCCAGCCTGACTTCATGCTGGACCCCACCCCCCTCGCCCACCTTCCAGTCATGGACAGGGACACACTCCCATTTGTCCTGCTGGCTCAGGGACAGTTGGATGAGTCGCACTGGGGCTCCAGGTCTGCTGCTTGGCTGCTCCCAATCTCACCGTTAGTAGGGGAGGAGGACTGAGCTTGGTGACACAGACAAGATGAATGTCAGGCACTGAGCTGCAAACTGTGGGTATAGAGAGTGGGGATGAAGACACAGCCGCCCCCTTAGGGGCAGGGAGGGACAAGACCACAGGTCAGTGCTGGGGAGGGTGCTGCAGGCAGTGGGCCAGCAGACCAGGGAGGCTTTGCCAAATGAGAAGGGGTCAGGACAGGTGGGGGGCAGGGGGCGGGAGACATCTGAGAGACACAGGGGGTTTCACAAGCAGGGGGTGGAGGTGATGAGGAAGGGGAGGGTTCAAGGCTGGCAAACAGGTGGCCACAGTTGTACCAAGGTTCAGCTTTCGAGCAGACGGGCAGGCCTTGAAGAAGGGACAAGAGTGTGCCCGCGGCTACTTTTGAACCCCCGTGGGCATCCTACGTGGGGAGAGGGCTCCTCAACGCTGCTTGTCGAATGTGTCCAGAAAACAAACGTCTCTCTGCAGCGGGAAGCAGCTCCTTGTTATCAAAACTTTGTGCCAGATTGTGGAAGCACTGGCAAGGGCAGCCCGTGCCCTCCGCCCCAGCCTGCTCTCTCCCACTCTCTCCCACCGCTGAGGGGCAGCCCACCCCCCCGCCTCCCCTCCACCAAGCCCCCAAACATAAGAGGCCCGGCCTGATGCTTTTTGAAGACCACAGTCACAGCAGGAAGAAATGAGACAGACACACCCCCACCCCAGGGGCCGGACCTCAGCTTCGGAATGTGACAATTTATTTGGGGGGCAAAAGGCTTTTCAGTCCCCCTTCCTGGCATTGATACAATATTGAAGAGCAGCAGAACAAAACGTACAAGACGAGAGTAATCGGCACAAACCCCCCCTCCCCCAGCCCACAAACAACCGAATCCAGAACCACAGAACCAAAACCCACGCCCTAAACAAGCCGTCTTCTCCACCCGCAACCTCTGGGAGAGGGGCAGGCGGCCTGGGGGACCCACCCCACGCTGGGGCGGCACCTCCAACTCCGGTCTTCTGTCGAGTCCATCAGCTTCCTATCTTGAACCACTGGAGGCAAAGTTTAGCCAGCTAGGAGCTGGACGGTTGAACCACAGACGAAGGCAACAACACTTCATTTTTAAAATGAGAAAGAGAAAAAAGAGACAGCGCCCCTCCCCAAATATAGAGCTATATATGTATATTTTATATATATAGAATTCATTCGTGCACAATTCATTAAATGAGCTTTTCAAAAATTAAAAAAATTATAAGATACGTTTCTTTAGGCCTTTGTGTTTTTAAATTAAAATCAACAAAAAAAGAAGTCTCCAGCTCCACTCAGCCCAACAGCAGGGGCAGACCTCCGAACTCGTCATTCCTTCTACCGCGCCCTCTCGCAAGGGGGCCCCCGTTAGACCATCAGCCCCCCTCTGCCTAGCTGAAGCTCTGTGTACAGTAGGCACTCGCTCACTGCTGGAGCGGGGTGCTGACTCCTTCAAGCGGGGCGGGGGGCACCCTGCAGGCCTGGGAGGTGGGGTCCTCCATCCCCACCCAGCCTGTCCCCCTACTTCGGTATCTTGGGGACTGTCAGCAAGATGGGGTTGGGCTGGGGAGACCCTCTCCTGGAGTTTTAGCCCCTAATTCTGGGCTTTCTGAATCTGAGAGGAGATGCAGATAGGAAAAAAAAAAAAAAAAAAAAAAAAACCTTTAAACACTTTCCTTTTTTTTTCTTTTTAAAAGTGATTCCTTAAACCATACAAGCCCCCAGGAGGCTGCCTTGGGCTAGTGCGTGGGAGCCCAGAAGGGGAACTGACCAGGCCGGGCTCCACTGTCAGGCGCCGGCCAAGTGCAAAAAAAACAACACCAAAACCCAACGAGGTGGGAAAGGCGGTCCCCACAGAGGCTGCAAAGGCTGGTGACAGCCCAGACCCCCCTCCTCTGGGCTGACCCCTCCCCCAGGACTGCCTGGCTCCGGGATAGCCTGCCAGCTTTGCGGTGGCTCTAGGGCTCGGGCCCCACCTTTTAAAGGGTTTCTTTTCCCCAAAGGCCAGAGCAGCTGGGCTCCTCACCCCAGCAAAGCAGCTTTGCCTCTCAGAGCCCCCATTTCCTTGTCTTCTAAATGGGGTGCTCCCTCCCACTCTGCCCACCTCACACTGAGGTTGGGGACTTGATCATCACCTTTCCAGAGCAGAGGAAGGATGGAGCTCATTTCGACCCTGACCCTTTGGCAGGGTGAGAATGAAGAGGGGCTGTGGGAGGCTGGAGGCCCCTGAACCAGCGACCTCGACCACCACCCAATCCTCAGCAGCTGCCTGGACGCCAGCAGTGCTTTACGAAGAGTCCTCACCACCCAATGCACCCATTTCACAGAAGGACAAACTGAGGGTCAGACAGGGGAATGAGATTGGGATGGGTCCCAACTTCCCATCTCAAACTAGACCTCACCAGTTTCCTATGACATGAGGGTGGGGAGGGGGTGGCATGAAGGGGAGATGACCGATGCCCCAACCAATATTGAACATGGGAGATCAGACTTTGCGGGTATTTCACATATAAAAATAAAGCAAACCAGACTACAACTTCTGCTTGGTAACTAGGCAAACGGAGAAGCAGCAAGGGGAGAGGAAGGGCCCGTGGGAGGCTTGTGGGCCCCCACCAGAGCCACCCTGGGAGAGAGGTAAGGAGGGCTCTGCTTGCTCCTGACCCCACGCCCTCAGGCCCCTAGGCGAGCTGCCTGCCCAGTGCACTGCACCGGTGTGCCTCTGCACGTGCCCAGGCAGGGCGGGGCTGCGTGACTGGGGGGTCAGGGGCAGCAACTCGCCCCTGGAAAGAGAAGGGCAGGCATTCCCTCCTCCCCAGTTACCCCCAATCCCTTAGGGTCACCACCTAAGATTCTCCCAGGGTCCATAGCTCCTGCCTTCCTGAAGCCTGCATCCCCTACCTGGCCAGGGAGGCTCAGCAGTGTCATGGTCTTTGGGGGTGACGGGGACGGAGATGCCCCCCATGGGGTGGCGGTGGTGGGGACCAGAGGGCCCAACGAGCTGGCAAAGGAAAGGAAGAGAGCAAGAAACCCAATCGTACTTACTCACCAGTCTTCCTGCAGAAAGTCACCAACGATGGGTCCCAGCGACAGTGCCACCCCTGCTGACCCCCCACCACCTCCTCAAATCTCAGCTCCATCTGCCTGGCCCCTGCAGCTTCTGGCTGGTTTCCTTGGGACCAGCTGTCATCCTTCCCTTTGAGCGAGGACAGGTGTGGAGCCTGGGCCCAGGACAGGAGGGCAGGCTTACCCTGCCTCGGGCCAAGGAAGGGCAGTTGGCTGTGACCCCGGGGACCTGCCGGCCAGGCGTGGGTCTCCATCTCCATTTCTAACATTGCCACCTCACCTGTGCAATCACTGCGTTACTAGTTTTTCTTTAAATATCTCTTTCTCCCCCCCTCCCCCAACCCCACAGGAATCCCACAATATTTTTTTCTATTACTTTTTTTTCCTCTTTTTTTTTTTTTTTTTGCAAAACTAATTCTTTCACTTTCCTGTCATAAAATCACCTCTGAAAACACAACTTCTTTACAAAAAAAGTCACAAATGACACGGACTCTCAGGAAAACACATTTCTATGGTCTCTGGAAACACCTGTAACTGGCACCCAGGTGGTTGCTCACCTGGGGTGAGGGGTCGGGGGGGAAATCACCTCTAGGGAAGAGGAGAAGTACCAGCCCTTATCTGGGGGAAGCCAATTGGCACTTAGACGGCCACAGAGCCAATACAAAGGGCGGGGTGGGGAGGGGTCCAGGAGTGCCAGCCCCCCAAACCCTGCGAGGGCCCTTGTTCTACATCCTGGGGTGGGGAGGGACAGAGGACATGCCGCAGCCCCTGGCAGGGAGATTCGGAAGAAAGGGTCCTCCCATACTTAGGGCAGAGGTGTTTGTTACCTAACTGGATTTGCTTTCTGCCTCCTCCTACCTTTTGCCATGATGCTCTGAGCTGAGACACCTGTCGCTGCACACACCAGGAAGCTACCTCAAGTGACGCTGAGGGACATGCCACTCATGCCAAACTGAGACTGGGCAGTGGCCAGGGCTGGCCAGCGGGGTTGCCTCCCACAGCACACCAAACCCCTGGTCCCGAACACCCTCGCTCTCCTGAACAACACAGGCCCCCTCCTTGGTCGCCCTCTTTGGGCTGCCTACCCTCCCAGTGCCCGGCCTAAAACTAGGCCTTTGGTCTCTGCTGCTGGCATGGCCGCCTCGACTCCCTGGCAGCAGAGGGAAAGAAGCTGCCCAGGGCACCAGAGGCCTCCCACCGCTTCGAGCAGGCTGGGCTGTGAGAAAGCCTCAGCAGTCGGAAGCAAAAGAGAGGGGGCAGGAGATGCTGGAGACCCTCAGGAACAGTTTCCAGGCTTCCTCCCTCCTCCCAAACGCCCAGGAGGAAGGGGAAGCTCAGCGTGGGGGTCTCCCTTCTCTACCTCAGTCCCCGCCATGCCATGTCTGTGGCGAAGGCCCGACTGGTCGGGCTGACCACCCCGAAGGAGAAGGGCACGGGGGCATGTGCCCCTAGCACACCCAGGGCCGGGAGGATGGGTCTGGCGGCCTCCACAGCAAACTTATCAGACCTGGGCCAGCTTCCAGGCCCAGGGGATGGCAAGGGAAGGTCCAGACTTTCAACGACCCTATTCTGAGGAACCCTAAAGGGTGCTACCGGGAAAGCCTGGGCCCAGTGCCCAATGCACACACAGATACACGTACAAACACACCAACGGGGGGCAGACGCACGCGCAGTCGAAGTTCCCACAGCAGGTTCTTGTAGCACCTTTGGTTGAGAACTGAAGGGGCCTTTAGATGCTGGGAGGCTGTGGCAGGGCGAGGTCCTTGCCAGCTCTTCCCATCTTTGAGACCGGGATTAGGAGAGAGATGGGGTGGGGTGGGGCCTAGGGGGCCTGCTTGGCTCTCGTCCAAAAGAGGACGGGAAGAACCCTGTCTCTGGCCCCGCTCCTGCCACCTTCACTGATGTGGAAGGAGGGGGCCAAGGCCCGCCTCACCACAACCTCTGTCCTGGCTTTGCCATCCCTGCCCCGGCATCTGGAAGAAGGAAAGGGACGGTGCCCACGCATGGAAGGGGTCTCGGAAGGGGCCCCCCGCAGCTGCCAGGTTAGCACCGAGAAATCAGATGCTGTGTGCGCGAGCTGCAAGCAAGCTGGGGAGAGACAGGGTGGGAAGTGGAGGGTGCAGCTGAAGCCCGCAGGAGCCACCCGGCGGGTCCCACGGTGCATGGGAGGGGGGGTGCCAAGAGACACGAAGGAGGACTTTCCAGTGCCCTCGCCCCCTCCGCCAGCTCTAAACCGGTCCAGGACTGCCCCTCCCACTGGGCTGCAGGGGGCTCCAACTGCCCAGCCCCATCCCCGGGGCAACACCGAGCCATCTGAAACGAGCAAAGCACAGGCAGAGGTGTCTGAGGGCGGGGGCGGAAGCAAGAGTATGCCTTTGGGCAGGAGGGCCCCCCCAAGCCCCCCTCCTTGGTAGAGCCCCCTCACTTGCTCAGCCCACTGCTGCCACCCGCCCCTGCGGCGCCTGCTACCCCAGCAGCCACCTTCTCGAAATCCTCAGGGTTGCAGAATTCCTTGATAGTGACCGTCAGGAGGTTGCTGGTGACATCGGTGACGACCACGTTGGAGCAGGGCGACATCTCAGGGCGCCAGTCCCCAGCCTCAGGCTCCGAGGGGGCGCCGACAGGCTCGGGGGCCGCGGGAAGCGCCTGGGCGGCAGCAGCAGCGACGTCGGGAGGCGCCCGCTGGCTGGTGGCTGCCGCCTCCGGGGGGACGGACAGGTCGAGCACCTCGGGCTCGAGCCAGGCGGGGGCAGACGGGCTCATGGTCTCGGGGAGCAGCTTGGGGGGCGCGTCGTCGGGGTCGGAGGACTGCGGTGCCGGCGAAGGGCAGCCGGAGGAGCTGGAGCTGCGGCCGTCATAGCGGGCAGCGGGGGGCGCCAGGAGCAGCCCCGCGCTGGGGGCGGCGGCGGCGTCGGTCTTGCCGGCCGGCGGGGGCGGCGGAGGGCCGGGCAGCGGCTTGTTGTACAGCGCGAAGGCGCCGAGCTTCATGTGGCGGATCTGCGTGCGCAGGATGCTCTCGCTGAACTTCTTGCTCTTGCCGATGACGCGGTTCCGCGAGGGGACTTTGGGGCGGGCGAGGGCCCCAGCCCCCTGCCCGGCGCCCCCTCCGCCCGTGCCCTTGTCGATCACCTTCAGGTTCAAGATGATGCGGTTCCGCTTGGGCTCCCGGGGCTTCACCTTACGGTTGATGATGCGCACCGTCTCCGAAAAGGGCGAGATGGGGGGGCGCAGGCCGGGGCTGCCCCCCTGCGGGTCTGGGCGGGGCAGGGGGCGGCGGGACATGCGGTGGCAGCGGCGGATGTCCTTCTTGAGCCGGTGCACGGCCGCGCTGGAGTGCAGCTTGGGCGAGGAGGCGCTGGCGCTCGGTTTGACCGAGAAGTGCACATCGCTGATGCGGAGGGCCTCGGCCTGGGCCCGCGCCTGCGGGGCAGAGGGAGGGGTGGGTGGGGACTCGTCTTCCCGCTGACCTCCTCTGGACACCCCTGCGCCAGCCAGCCAGCCAGCCACCCAGAGGGACAGTCTCATTAAACCATCCTGAGAGCACTTAAGAGAACCAGTGGTGCTCATGACCCAGTCTCAGAGAGAAGGAAACAGACACTCAGACAGGGGAAGCGAAGTGTGTAAGGTCGGAGGGCACGTGGGACCCCAGTCCAGGCCTGACTCCAAGACCCACCACCTTTGCAGGCTTGGCTGTGAGCCTGGGGGACAGACGGGGTGGTGGCTGCCCTTGCTGACACAGAGGTGTGTCAACCATCGGGACACTGCACGGAGAGAAGAGCCTTTTGCTCAGAGGCCGCTGACCAACTCTGCTCTGTGAAGATCCCAGACCCGCCTGGCACTCCTCCACGGACCAATATTTGGTGACAGAAAGGAAAGGGAGGCCCCTCCCTGCTCCACCTCATCCCCCAGCCCCACTACCTACTTGCAGGGTCCCAGAGGCCCAGTGCTCTCCCTGCCTTTGAAGAGGCTGCCCCCTCCAGCCTGGACTTGCCTCCCGGCTGATCACTGCCGCTGGGACAGGCCCCCAGCCCTCCTCTATGCCCCCAGGCCCCTCCACTTCCCCTCCTGGGTCTGATCTGTCTGTCTGCCCAGGGTCTGGCTCAGGGCCTGGGTCTGAGTGAACGAGTGCCAAGAGATTCCAAAGCCAGCACCTAAACCTGGGCTGGAATCCATCCAGTTAGTCATGGGTTTGGTGGGGATGACCAAGAGGGGGAACTGACCACTTCATACTCCCTAAGCCAAGATGGCCTGGGAGCAGTACAGCTGAGCAGAGGCCGGTAGGCAGCCAGGGACACTGTCCCAGGCTCCGGGCCCAGCTGCACCCCCAGGTGTGAAATCTGTAAGGCCCCTGGGCTCTGCAGCAGCCACCTGCCACCTCATGGAAGATGCAGGGTCTGGCAGGGCCGAGACCCCAGGCTCAGGGTAAGGGACTCACAAGGCCACATAAGCTGTCCTCCATGGCCAGTCCTTCCTTCACTAAGAAAGTACTAACAAGTCACGTGCTAGCTCTTGGGGCCACAACTACGAACACTCAGCGTCAACCCCGGGGGCTGCGATTCCGGGAAAGGCAAGTACAGGGGGTTAGGACACAGGGTGACTTGATGAAATCAAGGAAGCACGGCCTACAGGAGCACAGATTAGGGGCGCAGGCCCCAGCTTTGGAGGATGAAGCCTAAGGAAGAGAGAAGCCTGGTCCTTCCTGAGCTCGACTGTGCCCAGGCGGCCTGCTGAAGGGGCAGTGCTGAGACAAACGGTGGAGGCGGAGAGAGCCCAGTGGTGAGAGGATGCAGAGCAGCCGAGGCCGGACAGAGGTGCAGGTGGACCAGCGATCTGTGTTTTGCACAGGTACCCTGGCTCCAGGTGGCCCAGGGAGACTCCTTAGGCGGCGACTGCCTCGATCCAGGTGGGCGATAGTGGCGGCCAAGGAAGGACACATTCCCACGGTCAGTCTGTGAGCTCCCCAAGAGTGGGATCTGTGGTTTGGGGTCTCTCCACCTCCCACCCCCACAGTGCTGGACGTTTAACCAGCACCTGGCAGGCAGCCTATATGCTCCTCAGACAACACTAGCCTGTATTTGACCACAGCTCTCACAAGAGGTATTTGCTGAATACGCGAGGATGTCTTCGTTTAGAATGTGGGAGAAGCACTTTCATGCCACAGGGCCCTGCCCAATATGCGGGGGCCTCCTGGGGCTGCGTGGTCAACGATCCCTTTGGCCACTAGGTGGCAGCACACACTGCCTGGCCCACCCTGTGCCAGGGCTGCCCATGGAGCCGCGGACTGGTTCCCTCACACCCTTTCCCAGACAAAGGCAGGAGAAAGCCAGCCTTTCCTTAGCATGGCAAGTGGAGCCTCTGGCAGGTTCATCCCCATGGGAACTTAGGGGATCCCACTCTTTCTGATCCCCCTGGGGGGTTAGTGTTTACTCCCTCTGCACACTGCCCAAGCTCTTGGACCTCCGTAATTATGGTTCTGCCAGAGTCCAGTGGTGACCGATGGTCCCTGGGGAGTGGCGAAGAGTGTGGGCAAACATCAGACCCGGAATGAAACCCCGGCTCAGTGGGCCTCCTGGGAGCATCAGATAGTACATGTCACCCGCTTATAGCACAGTGCCTGGCACGCAGCAAGTACTCAGGAAGTACCAGATTTATCTATCCAAGCAGGGGGAGGAGGCTTATGAGCAATAAACTTTTTCAAATGTACGGTTTCCAAACTTTCTACGAGAAACATTTCTTACTTTATAATTTCTAAATTTTTTTTTAAAGGGAGTGGCTTACCCGTCCTCCTCGTCTCCCCTCCCGAGGGTGGGAATTCTGATGGCAGGACCTGGGTCTGCCTGTGTATTCAAAATGGTAACCACAGCCAATGCGTTTATTGCACTATGACCAGGTGACAGGCACAGCTCTGAGGGGTTAGCATGTACTACAGACAGTATGGAAGGTTAAAGACCTTCACTCTACCACTGACTCTCTGTGACCATGGGCAAGTTATTTAACCTCTCTGGCCTCAGTTTTCCTATGTGTAAAATGGGGATAATACAACCTACCTCCTGGGCTCCTGTTCCCTTCAGAATAGCTTCCAGCAGAAAGTAAGTGCTTTCGGAGTGTAATCTGTTTCCTCTACACACTGCCGCTCAGTGACTCAGAGCAATAGGTTCAGACCAAGCTGCTCTCCATGTCCCCTTGCAAATATCCCCACCACTCTTGGACTACCGGGTTTTAAGATCCAGACCGAGGTCCTCTCATCTGCCTCTCCATCTCCTGCCTCACCAACTCTGCAGCCTTCAGTTTCCTGTGTGTGTGTGTCCACCTTGCCCCTTAAGCTGACGTGGACTCTCTGAGGGATAAGGTGAAGAAAAGACAACAGGATGAAGCCAGGAAGCTGAGTGGTGGGACCTCAGGTAAGTCACTCCCCCTCTCTGGGCCTTGGCTTTCTCATCTGTGAAATGGGATAATACTCGCCACTTCATAGGATTGTTGAGAGGATTACAGGAGATAATCCATGTGGGGGCTCAGCACTGTTAGGCCCATAGCCAGCTCAGGAACTAGAGCTATCAATAAAAAAAAGGCATTTTGTGAATCAATGCTCATGGTCATTACTCACTTCGCCGCTAGAGGGTGCTCCAGCTGCGCTGAGAGGCTGTCACACAGCCCGCCCTCCCTCCAGCTGCTCCGCCCATCCCTCTTAAGAAGCATCAAGGGTTAAGGTTGCTCCATGGATCCCGTAAGATATGTGTAGATTGGGGACACGGGTCACAGAAATAGGTAATTCTGGAATTATATTTCTGCTTTAAGTTCAAAGCAAACCCTTACATATGCACAGTCCTTTTGGGAGGAGGGGACTGGAGTGGCCCACCTCACCCTCATTGGGCTTTGAGCCTTTTGGACAAACTGGAGATTCTGAGGTTCTGCATCCTGCACAGTGTCTTCTCTGCAGAGTCCTCCCTGCCCTTCCAGTGCCAAGTGCCACAAAGTCACAGGTCGGGGTGGGAAGGGGCCTTGAGACAACCTTAGCACAAATGGGGAGACTGGTTGCCCAGAGAGGCCCATCTGCAGCCTTGCCGGCCACCTCGGGTCATCCCCCTTTCCCTTTCCCAGACTCTGCTCTTTCTCACTAAAAAAATAAAATAAAACCCAAAAAACTCTAAGATGGCTGCCTCTGGAGCTAGGTCTCCCTCCGGTACCACGGCTAATGTGCGATGATTTCACCCTCCCACGCCCCATCCTCATCAGAACCTCCAGAAACAGCCAGGGGTGGGGGGAAACTGAGGCTCAGAGCCCGGAAGCCAGTGGCCTAGCTTGGGTGATAAACTCAAAGTGAAGTGATTTAAGGTCAAATTCAAGTTGGATCCCCCAGTGAGGAGGGGAGGCATGCAGAACAAATCCTAAGAGAGAGAGGGAAGCTGGGGGCAGGGAGGCAGGTGGCCCCCCAATCCCTCTCCCTGTTCCCTGCCACGAGGGAGACCACATTCCCTCTCTCCCCGGATTCTAATTCCAGGCAGAGCCCTACCAGCCTCCCCACCAGCTCCAGGCTGGAGGAGAGGAGGGCTGTCACGTGCAAAAGCGACCTCCTGGCCACCCCCTCAGGTGGGCAGCGCCCACCTGCCTCATCCACCACCTTTCTGGAGCCCTGTTGGCCTTCCCAGACCCCGGTTTTGTCAACGAAGATATCCCCCCACCCTTCACTCCCAGGCCCCTCTTGCTGAAGCTGGAGCTGGCAGGGGCCTGCTGCCAGGGCCTCGTTGGGGGCTCACAACCACCCCCCTGCCCAGCTGGGGCCCCTCTGGAAAGGCCCGCCCGCCTGGGCGGCCGCGGATCTGTCCCTCCCTTGCAGGCCCCGTGCTGCGCCGAGGCTAGGGGCCCGAGAGGGGGCTGCTGGGGCTGCGCCAGGTTACCTTCAGGAGGAAAGTTTTAGGTTTGGGTCCCCTCTTCTTGGGCCCATACAGCTCACGCTCCCTCTCCCTGCGGCCGAGAAACGCCAAAGGTTAACACGAGCCCCTTTCCGGGCCCCACTCCGCGCTGCCCTCCCCGCCTCTCCCGCTTCCCCGCGCGGCGCCCCAGCCGAGCTCGGCCCCGCTGCCCCTGCCAGCTTCCCAAACTCACTTCTGCTCGAAGGCTGCAATGAGCCGCGAGTCCAGGATGTTCTCCTCGGGCTCCCAAGTGCTGTACCTGCCGAGTCACACATGCACAAAATAAAAATGAAAACCAGGGAGGCAGAGGCACATGCGAGGGAGCCAATGTGGGCACCCCCCAAAGCAAGAAAAAGGCCCCAGTCTCCGCTGCCTCCTCTCCCCCCCCTCCCCTGGACCCCCGACACTCACTTGATGGCCCACCCCTTCCATTTCACCAGGTACTCGATGCGTCCCTGAAAAACAGAGAAGAAAAAAGGGGGGAGTGGGGGCGGGGAGGATGCGGGGACGCCGAGGAGGCGGCGGCGCGGGGGTGGCCGAGAGACCCCGGGTTAGCGGGACCGCTGCGCCCCGATGGCCCGCGGACCCGGGCACCAGCTGCGGGGAGAGGCGTCCCGCCCCGGGAGGAGGCTCACCTTTCGGATCCGCCGTTTGATGATGGATTCGGCCGCGAAGACCCGCTCGCCCACTGCAGACAGCTCCATCTTGCTCAGCGGCACCCACAGCCCATAATACTCCCTGCTCCCGCGGCCGGTGCTGCACCGCTCGCGCACGCGCCGCAGCGCACAGGCCCCGGCGGGCGGGCGCGCGGCGGGGCGCGCGCTCGCGTTCCAGCTGCGGGCCGTCACGTGACCCTCCGGGCCGGCGCGCGGTTGCCAGGACCTCCTCCTCCCTCGGGGCGGTTGCTAGGGAAAGTGAGCGCACGCGGGGCGGGGGCGCGCGCTGGCTCTTAAAGGGGCCTCGCCTGGTCACGGGAGCCGGGGCCGGGAGCCCGGTGGATGCTTGGCTTGTGCGAAGCCGGGTCGGGCGCAGTGCAGTCTCACTTTCTCACTCCTCTTTCCATCTTCCCTGCCCCCGATAGCTGACAACTTCTCCTTCTTTTTAACCCCCTATGCAAGTCTCGCCAGGCCCCAGGCGAGGAAGGGCGATGGAGTCTCTGCAGCCGCTGCGCATCCTCCCAGCAGAAGTTTGCAAACAGTTAAATATGATACAGCAGAAATGCATTTGCTGTTGCCTTGCCAGGCCCTGCGGGAATTTCTTTAAAACATTGCGCCCCCCCATCCATTATTTATGTATTCGTGGGAGTGTGGTTTTGTAACCAGTTCAGATGAATTAAAACAAAAATGCCACCGCAGGAAAGGGGGGTTGGGGTGAATGAGGCCGAGGAAGGCCAGGGTGATCCTGTTCATCTGTTCTTCGGCCGGGGCCTTGGGCGGCACCTGCCTTCGCCCAGAAGACCGGTCAAGACCGCAGCGAGGAAGATGTGGCGGTGGGGGAGGGAGAGAGAGGCCGCGGGCCCCAGACTGGGCCGGAGCGGGTCATCCTTGGGTCATTCGACAGAAACCGCCCTCGCGGTCATGTCTATATGTTTTCCGATTCCCAGGCCCCCTGGCCGCGTCACTCTCCTGCCGCCTGCAGTTCCTCTAACGGTTCCGCCATTGCTCACGGGGAGACCAGACCCCAGCTTCCTATTTGGGGAGGGGCTGGGAGACCAGGGCTGTCTGGGAATGGACACAAAGTAGCCCAGCCGCGCAAAACGCTCCATTTCTTTTATTTTGAATTATTTAAACTTTATTTTTTATTACACCAACAGTCTTGTTCTTTATAAAATAAAAAAAGCAAGGAAAAAAAGCAACTGTCCATAATATCCATCAAGCCATTGTTAACATCTTCGCGAAGCTTCTTCCAGCCTCTGTTCTATGCCTATATAAACACACGTAGTATCTATGCATACATATACGTTGTACATATATAGTATACATATTTAAATTCTTTTTAACAAAATGGGATCGTATGATTCACACTGTCTGGAATCGGCTTTTCTCCCTTGATATAAGGTGGACCTCTTTTGGTGTCATTACATACAGATTTCACCATCATTCTAGTGGCTGTGGTGGGGCTGAGATGGAGGTGGAGAGGGACAGGGATGTGGTAAGGGTCAGGGTTGTCTTGTCTCATTACTTGTTTATTAGAAAAGAGGATTTTTACATTTCTGTGCTGCAACATCAATTCTTGTGGTTTCAAATCAACCACATCAAAATTTCCGCTTCTTGTCCCTGCAGATTTGTCCAATTATTACCCAGGGAGCAATCTCCCTCCTCCCTTAAAATCAACATGCTCTTGAGAAATAGCTATTTGCTGGCCAGCCCAAAGCAGGCTTCGTGGAAGAATAGAGCTGCCCTCCTGGGGTGGTGGGAGTGGATGGGCAGGTGAGCTGTGTGGATATGAGTGTCTGTGTGTGTGTGTGTGTGTTTGTGTGTGTGTGTTTTCAGGCTGAGGGAGGCAGGCAGCCGGATGAAGCGTGTAAGCATTAATCCATTTGTTAGCTCATTCAGCAGCTTTTGTGAGCCCTTTATAAGGCTTTGTGTTACACCACCAGAAGCAAAAGTGCCCCAGGCTTGAGGAACCCTCAGTCAGGTGAGAAAGGCACCTGCCATACAATGTGACTAGAGCTAGAGTAAATATGTATTAATTTCCTATGGCTGCTGTAACAAATTCCCACAAATGCTGTGGCTTAAAACAACACAAATTTATTATCCTACAGTTCTGGAGGTCAGAAGTCCCAAATCAGTGTCACTGGGCTAAAGTCAAGACATCCTCAGGGCTGGTGCCTTCTGGAGGCTCTAGGAGAGAATCCGTTCCTTGCCTCTTCCATCTTCTAGAAGCTGCTGGCATTGCTTGGCTCATGGCTGTATCTCTCCAGTCTTCACTTTTGCCTTCCCCTGACTGACCTCCTGCCTCCTTCTAATAAGGACCCTTGTGATTACATTGGGCCCACCCAAATAATCGAGGATAAGCTCCCCATCTTGACCTCCTTGCCTTAATCATATCCGCAAAGCCCCTTTCACCACAGGGTCACATTGTATAGGGTGTATAAGGTATCATAGTCATAGGTTCTGGGGATTAGAACGTGGACTATGGGTGGGTGGGGCATTATTCAGCCTTCCTAAAAAATGTATAGGATGCTTTGGGGATCTAGATGTATTAGCCAGAGTTCTCCAGAGAAACGGAACCAATAGGATCCATATAGAGATATATAAGAGGAGATTTATTATAGGAATTGGTTCATGCAGTTATGGAGGCTGAAAAGTCTGCTGTCTGCAAACTGGAGAACCAGGAAAGCCGATGGCATAAGGCCCGAGAAACAGGGGGCTGCTGGTGTAAGTCCCTGGGTCTGAAGGCTGGAGATCCAAGAGCTCTGATGTCTGAGGGCAGGAGAAGGTGGACGTTCCAGATCAAGGAGAGAGAGAATTTGCCATTTCTCCCTCTTTTTCTTCTGTTCAGGCCCTCAACAGATACCATGATGCCCGTCCACACTGGTGAGAGTGGATCTCTTTATTCAGTCTACTGAATCAAATGCTAATCTCTTCCAGAAATACCCTCACCAGAAATAATGTTTACCAGCTATCTGGGCATCCTGCAGCCCAGTCAAGCTGACATATAAAATTAACCATCACACTAGATAAGAGAGCAGCCCACTGCCCGGAGGAGGGGAGACCAGGAGGCTGGACATTTGATTAGGGACTCGAAAGATGAAGAGAAATTGGCCTGTTAGTGAAGAATGAGAGAGGCATCCCAGGTAAAGGGGTCAGCGGGATCGAGACCTTCAATGAGAGAGAGTCCCTTCCACCTTGAACAGATAATTCCACCTGTAACAGATAATCTCATTCTATGAGAGGAAGTTCCTTCCACCTCTTCCACAATCTGTCCTTCTGAGATTTGGTCCAACACCACAAGGGAAAAATTTAATCTCCTGACTGTGTGATTTGCTGCCCAGAGAAAGGGCATTTCAGTTAGCCTGTGCTGTGAAACCCACCTGTGCTATGAAACACCAACATATGGCGGTTTAAAACATAAGAACCTATATCTCATGATTCTGTGGGTTGGCTGGGCTCAGCTGGGCAGTTCTTTGAGCTGGTCTTGCGTCGGGTCATTCACGTGGCTGCAGTCAGAGACAGGGCCAGAGCTGACACTCATGTCCGGGGCCTTAGTACTGGGTGTTGGCTGGGCCTTGCTCTCCTCAGGCCTCTCATCGTTCAGCAGTCTAGCTCAGGCGTTCTTACAGGGCTGCAGGAGCCATATAAGAAAGTGAGAAGCATTGCAAAGCCCTTAAGGCCTAGCCTTGGAAGTTACACAACATCACTTCCACTCATCCTATTGGTCAAAGGAGGCAGAATTCAAGGCCCTCGAGATTACTGCCTCCTCACCCCACCCCCACCCCCTATACATGTCCCTTATAATCCCCTCCCCTGAGTGAGGGTGGGACCTATGGAAGGAGCTGGGATTTTACTCCACGGTTAGGTTAAGGGAAAAAGGAAAGGGATTTTGCAGATGTAATAAAGTCCCTAAACAGTTGACTTTGAGTTAATCAAGAAGGAGTCCTATGATCTGTTTCTACTCTCACAGCCCTTCTGACACCAAATGTATGGGTGTTCTCCTCACGCCAACAACCAGTTTTCCACCTCTTCAGACACCATTTGGGTGTCCAGTGATTCAGTTCAGTTCAGTTCTGACACTGGTACCGGGAGTTAGCACCAGACCACACAGATTACGGGCTCAGTCCCACAAGATTGCCTCCACTTCAGACACCAACAGCAAGTCTAGGCTTCTGGCACTTCTGGGGGACTGGTTACAAATCATGGGTTCCCACGACCCCTCCTCAGTTTCGATAATTTGCTAGAACAGCTCACAAGACTCAGGGAAACACTTTACTTATATTTGCCAGTTCATTATAAAGGATACAACTCAGGAACAGCCAGTTGGAAGCGATGCAGAGGGCAGGGCACGCAGAGGGGGGTGCAGACTAACATGCCGTCTCCGGGCAAGACACCTGCCCAGCACCTCAATGCGCTCACCAACTCGTGAGCTCATCACATCTTGTTCAATGTTTCTGGAGCTTCATGCACAGCCTCGCCTCCCCTTCCCAGAGGCCGGTGGGTGGGGCTGAAAGTTCCAACCCTCTAATCACTTGGTCTTTCTGGGGACCAGCCTCATCCCGAAGCTACCTAGGGGCCTACTGAGAGTCACCTCATTAGCATAAACTCAGGTATGGTTGAAAGGGGCTTGTGAATAACAAACGATGCTTCTCTCTCCCTTCTCACTCAGGAAATTGAAAGGTTTTAGGAGCTCTGTGCCGAGAACCAGGGAGGAAGACCAACTACACATTTCTTATTATATCACCATATCCCAGGGAGTTATCCTGGCCTGAGCTAATCGGGTGAGCCCTTTATTTTTATTATTTATTTATTTGTTTGTTTTTTGGTGAGGAAGATTTGCCCTGAGCTAACATCCGTTGCTAATTTTCCTCTATTTTTTTTGCTTGAGGAAGAGTAGCCCTGAGCTAACATCTGTGCCAATCTTTCTCTGTTTTTGTATGGGGGATGCCTCCACGGCATGGCTGAAGAGTGGAGTATGTTTGTGCCCGGGATCAGAACCCACGAACCCAGGCCACCGAAGCAGAACGTGCAGAACTTTAACTATGCGGCCACAGGGCCCGCCCCTCGGGTGAGCCCTTTAAAAGAGAGTCTGGGCCTTTGCTGAGGGGAGAGGTCTGACACAGCAGAAATGCTCTCCTCTTGGCCTTGAAGAAG